CCATAAGGAAATTAACTGAAAATAAAAACATATCTGGAAAATCCCTGAATATATGGCAAATAAACAACACACTTCTAAATCAACGATGGGTCAAAACTGAAGTCTTACACTAAACTAAAAATATTTTGAATCAAATAAAAATTAAAATACTATATATCAAAATTATCAGGATACAGCTAAGCAGTGCTTTGAGGGAAATGTAGAGTACTAAGTGCTTGTAATAGAAAATAGGAAACACCTAAAACCAGTAATATTCCAAACACCTCTATGCCCTAAAGGAAATAACTTACATGAAAATTAAAAATGTTTCTACCTGCAATAATGAACATTTGGAATTTGAATTTTATAAAATGTCATTTGCACAACATGGCTTGGCCTGGAGGACATGATTCTATGTGAAATACTCAGACACAGAAAGAAAACAATTGAATGATCTCACTTATATGTGAGACTTAAAAAAAAAAAGACTCTCAAATACACAGAGACAGAGTGTGTAACAGTGTTTTCATGGGTGGGGATTGCAAGAGGACATGGGGGGATGTAGGTCAAGGGAATCAAAATATCATAGAAGGTATGCGGGCCAACAGTTCTGGAGACTGGATGCACAACATGAGGGCTGAACTTAATAAAACTGCACCATGTTAAGGATTTTTGTTAAATAAGTGGATTTTAGCTGTCTTTGTCACAAAAAAAAAGTGAGATAATAGATACGTTAATCTGTTTCACCATTGTAACCATTTTACTATCTATATTTTGTAGCATCATGTTGTAAACATAAAATATACACAATACTATTTAAAATGCATTAAATTGCACTAATAACAAATGAAGCATTAGGTCTAAATATAACAAAATAGGTGCAGCATTTGTATGCTGAAAACTACAAAACACTGATGAAAGAAATAAAAAAAATCTAAGTAAATGAAGAAATATGCAGTTTCATGGATTTGAGACTCAATATTTCAAAGACGTCCATTCTCCTATTTTCCCTGACTTGAGCAATGCAATCTCAATAAAATTCCAGCAAGTCTACTTTGTAAATAACAACAAGCTGAATCAAAATTAACATAGAAAGGCAAAGAAACTATAATAATCACAAAAATTCTGCAAGAAAAGCAAAACAAAATTCTGGAAAATGAACAAAACAACAAAGGTAAAATACTCACGTAACTTGATTTTAAGACACTATAACGCGACAGCGACAGTAAACAATACAATGTGGTATTGGCGTTGGGACAGTCAGTCAATGGAACAAAAGAAAGAACAGAGAAAATTGACTCAGACATATATTGACAAGTGACTTTTGGCAAAGGTACAAGTCAAGTTAGGAAAGAAACAATCTTTTCAGTTAATTGTGTTGGAACAAATAGTATGCAAATGTCCCAAATACGACCAATATATACCTTTTCCATATACAAACATTAATTCGTAGTGGATTATAGATTTGAATGTAAAATGCAAAACCATACAACTTCTGAAAAAAACATGACAGAAAAGCTGCATGACTTTGGTTTTGGTGGTGAGTTTTAAGACACAATACCAAAAGCACGCTCAATGAAAGAAGAATTTTTGAAATTTGACTTTAACAAAATTTAGTGTTTGCATTGCAGAAGACACTGTAAATATGGTAAAACAGCAAGTCACAGACTTGGAGCTATTACTTGCAAATTTCATATTTGATAAAGTACTTATATCCAGATTTTTTTTTCTCTCTATCATCCTCAAGTACTGCTAAAATTAAAGCTTAAAATAAAATTGACAGCACCAAATGCTGATAGGTATGTGAAGCCACAAGAATTCCCATTGCTGGTAGGAATGCAAAAGTAGTATTCTACTTGGACGCCCATACACCTTGGATGGCAGATTGCCTATTTCTTACAAACGTACACTCATCTCATGGATCACGAAGTCCCGTCCCAGATGTTCATCTAAGTGAATGGAAAACTGCGTTCACACAAAAAACAATTTGCAGATGTCTGTAACAGTTTTATTCATAACACCTCAAACTGGAAACAACCAAGTTGTCCTTCAACACGAGTGGAGAAACAGACTGTGGTGTGTTCACACGTCGTAAGACTACTTAACAGTGAAAGGAGTGAGCAACTAACTCACATGACCTAGACGAGTCTTAACTGCATTTTGGTAAGTGAAAAAGGCAGCCCCCAAAGTCTGAATATTATATGTTCCATTTATATCACATCCTGGAGAACGCAAACGTGTAGGAACAGAAAAGGGTGCAGGGCTTCTAAGGGTTTGGGGATGGGTTGATGAGTGATAGAACTGTTCTGTGTGGTAGTGGGTGGAAGATTTTTGACTGCATTTCTGAGTTGTGCAAAGACATAGAAAAACCAAAAAGTCAAATTTATTGTATACAAATTCTAAAAAAAGCTCAACTAGGATTTGAGGGAATCTCAAACTAGAAGAATGACTGTGACAAATGAATCTAACTGATTACAAATGATGACACAACTCAGAAATTTTGCAGAATCAGAGAAGAGAAGTGTGAATCTGGTGAGGAACTCAGCCAGGCAGGCTGGAGGCTGTCAGGCTAGCCACTTGGTGGTGCCAGAGGACCTCCAATAGAACCTTGCACATGATTTTACATAATTTACCCAGACAGCAAAGAAGGCTCAGCCACTGCACTCAATCAATACCAGTGACGACACTGCCACTTGCTGTACACGCCCTTGGAGCATGTCTACAGGTCAACAGCATGACACCGATAACACTGAAAAATGGAAAATGCACAGGAGCCCGAGCCTCTACACACAGAGTCTGGGCCTCTTTTTGAATTTCATATGACTACACTGTATAATGAGTTTTGACTGTGTCCTGGTCATTGTTTAACTTTTCTCAGAATTTACTTGGAGTTTTACTGATCGGAGAATTATGGACTGTATAGTAGAGAAAGCAAATATATAAATAAGCATAATTATGCTGGCTCCCAATGTAAATAATGAATTCATTGTTCTAGTCTTGCTGGCGTTGTCACTGAAGAGCTTTGCAAGAAGCCTTCTGCTCGCTCAGAACCTTGAGGCATCCAGTGGTACCACAGAGTTAAAGCCATCCAAAGCATCTGGCATGGGTTCCCTGGTGAAGACATCACACTCGTCCCATGAGTCCACACTCCCTGGCAGCCCTATAAACTCTCACCCTGTGAAACTATCACAGGTTTGCCATTATGCAAAGTATTTACCCCCAGATTTTCAACTTTATCTTACTTCAGGCAGACACAGAAAAGGTACTTCCACAGGTTCATGCATTGTACTCAGGCTCATGGTCAATCGGCACAGGCTGCTTTTTCTCCGTGGCTCCAAAGCAGCATCCACTAGACTAAGACCTGGAAATGTTGTCTTTTAAGGAAAGATGAAAAGAAAAATCATGCCCTAGAGTCACGTGGAAGGACCATACTTTGCTTTTGGCCACTAGTCCACAATTAACCTGAGAGTTATGTCACCCAGGTACACCACAACCTGGGCCCCTGTCCCATCAGAAAACTTTACAGCAAAGATGGTGAGGAACGTACCAGAGCAGATGACATTCTGGAGAACTCAAGTTACGCAAATGAAGACAATTTATTTCAGAAGAAGGAGAAAATCGTGAGAAGTGAAGTTTCCGTCAACACCCATTGTAAGTGTGCCAGATGACTGGCTCTAGAGTGTCATCCTCAAATCTGGGGGCTTTCCTTCCCTGTTTTCCTAGGTATTTTCTTAGCATGTTGCCTATGTACGGTTCTGTACTGTTAACAGGCACCCGCTGCCTCTCAGCAATGGTGTCTATAATGTTCCTCCCCTACTATGCCTTGTTCATCCCTAGTGGCTTCTTGTCATGAGTCTAATTTCTTGTTTGATATTCTCACAATGGGGCTCATTCTGATAATCAGAATCATTCCTAGGCTTGATCTCACTGTCTCTGTGAGACAGCCAGACTCTTGATATCAGTGTCTTGTGGCATATATGTTGGTTTTCTGGGTAATTTTACTCAAACATGAAGTGACATTTTGCATGCAACTCTAATATTTGTTTCAAGGCATTCCTATAAATCAGTTTATCAAGATAAACAGTTTGTTTACCTGTGCAAACTTCTATCAGGACAGCATGTTGCTAATCTGAGCAAAAAGTTCATTTACCAAACAGCAATGTTCCTGTGAAGGCTCACTTCAAAACTCTTGTCTTCTGTCCGCAAACCTTACATGATCACATCACAGACTTTACCCAATCCCAATCAATTTTCATCTTAAAAGAATCACTTAAACCTACCATTTATTCTAGCAAACTCTGGTTCCTGTGTAGTTGATAATTCACACTTAATCCTGACAAAAACGTTAATTCAGGAAATTCTTCTAGCACAGACTGGAGTTTCCTTATCTTCCTCCCTCCCACTATGATCCGGGCTCTTCCGGGATCCCATCTCTGTTGAGGAAGAGTCACTGGGGTTCTGGGAGCCCTGGAGAGACTTGAGACTTTAAAAGCTGAAGATTCTTAAGAAGCTACAATATATATTATTTGTTGTTTTATTTTATTGATTGGTTCTTGTAGCATACATATGTATGAAAAACTAGTACTTACCTTTTTTGTCTTTCTAAGAAGTCTTTGCAAAAAAGAATTATGTGCTGGGTTTGTGTGTGTGTGTGTGTGTGTGTACGCTGGTGTATGTGTGTAATGGGGGAGGTGCTGGTTGTATTATTTGAGAATAAAGAATACAAGGCTTTGAAAAGTCACTTTGCCCAAGGCTATATAGTAAGTTTTTTGGGTTTTGTGTGTTTGTTTTGTTTTCTTCAGACACGGTTTCATTCCTGTTGCCCAGGCTGCTGTGCAGTGGCGTGATCTCGGCTCACTACAGCCTCTACCTCCTGGGTTCAAGTGATTCTCCTGCATCAACCTCCCAAGTAGCTGGGACTACAAGCACGTGCCACCACACCCAGCTAAGTATTTTTTGTATTTTTAGTATAGACGGGGTTTTGCCATGTTGCTCAAGCTTGTCTCAAACTCCTGGCCTCAAGTGATCTGACCGCCTTGGCCTCTCAAAGTGCTGGGATTACAGGCGTGACCCACTGCACCCGGCCGATAGTAAGTTTAACAGCTGGAATTCCAACTTTGTGAAGCACTGATAAGAACTGGAAAAAAAAATTCAGATGAGTAACTTAAACACATATAATATTCAAATCCCCATTGAAGTGTATTAACTAGACATTAATAAATTTCATTAAATAAATTCCAGTAGATCTAAACATATTGCAATTACATGCACTGATATATTTTTGGAAACTGAACATTTTAATAGCCTTGTTGAAATATAATTAATAAACTGTACATGCCAGTCAGTATAGTCTCAGTGCTGTGCAACGACAACCATAAGGTAAATTTTAGAACATTTTTACTCTGAAAGGAACCCCACACCCGTCAGCAGCCACTCTATTGCCCACCATCTCCCTCCACCAGTTCCTGGCCACCACCAATCTACTTGATGTCCCCATGGGTTTGCCTGTTCTAAAACTTTCGTATAAATAGAATTACAGAACATGTGGTCTTTTAAAAATTCCCTCAAACTCTGTATTTTCCCCAAAGCATGTATTTAACCGAATTTATGAAATTTTTGCAATAATTTTAAAGGAAAGTTTTGAGTTACTTATTTTCAGAAATGGTAATATATAGTATTTTTTAAAAAATTCTACACAGAGACAAACTCTTTGAAAAGCTCAGCTGTTGGAAGTGAAGATGCTTTGTCTAAATGGAGAAATAAAATTAGGATGGAGAGACGCTAATTTAACTAGATTTTTGAGACGCTAAATTTTGTGATGGGAAAAATGCAAGACATTTATTAGAGAATCCATTCCTGATCCTGCATAAAAGGGCACACACTTTGGCCACAGAGTATTTTGAAGGGGGATACATGATAATATTAAGTATATATATGGGGCCAGAATTGTATTTTTAATAGACAAGTTAAAATACCCAAATCCACACAAGGCCTAAGAATGACAGCTTTGTGAAGAGCAAGCAAGGCCTCCAGGAAAAGGACAGGGAGGGAAAATGGGAAGCGGATGGAGGCTGGGCTGAGGCCCTGGTCTCCGCTCTTCCCTCCTCCCCACCAGCCCGTTTCTCTTTTCCATCTTTTTCTACCCTCTATGACAAATGAGAGTGTATCAAATTCACCTCCAAATGGGCTAATGTACTTTCCAGGTCTCCTTTCACTTGGTTTAAATATAGGAACAGAGGAGTGTGGAAAGGCACTGGCCCCAGCAAAGCGGGTTGGCTTTGTCCCTGGGTTCACTCTTGCATACTGGACAGGTCGCTTCAGGCCTCGGATTCCTCATTTGTGAAGCACAGCCAAAAACTCAAGGCTCCCCACCTTGCTGTGGTGGTGAATCAGCGGGGTAAATGCTTAGCCGGGGACTGGCTTGCTGTACCCTCCACAATGACCACTTGAAGTGGATCCCAGAGGCTCTTTACTTTGCCATAAAGACAGTTTAAGGAAATGAGACTTTTAAATAACTTGTCTGCAACTTCTACAAGAGATGGTAAGTGCATATGGTGTCTTTCTAAGCTACTTTCAGATGAACCATAAATCTCAGTGCATTCTCCTGCATTGGAGGGAGAGGCTGCTAATGCAAGCTCAGCCCTCCTGTGCAGCTCGTAATGAGGCAGGCCCCTTAGTCTCCTCTGCTCCCCAAGACCAACCCCATAGCTGGGCAGTTGTTGCAATGTGACACACTTGGGCACGTATCTGAGACGTCATTTTGAAAATGAAGAACCGATATTTTTCTTACTTATAAAAGCAGTCCTACTTCTCAAAGGAGACGCCTGTCCTGGAGGACCTGCGACAAGGTAGAGAAGAGGTTTTCTCCCTTCATGCCTTCACGGAGAGGCTCATGTTGCTAGACATGGCGACGTCTGTCAGGAAATGTCGTGTCCTCAGCCCTTCACGTAGGCAGGTTTGATTCAGCATCCTCGGGGCACTTCCTGTTCCCGCCCACATGTGCTCGCGCATGCGTGGTGGAGCTGGCCTTTTCAACATCCGCCATCTAACCGGTAGGTAGCAGGGTTATTGATATCGCATGTATTTAATGTGTTTAATTTTCATCCATATATCTTCTTGGCTGATCTGTCTTTTCAACTATTTTGCCCATTTTAAATTGTTTTTTCCTGTTATTGACTTTTAAGTCCTTTTAGATGTGAAGTACAAGCCATTTTTTCAGATATATGGTTTGCAAATGTTTTCTCCAGATCTTATATTTTTTATTCTCTTAACAGTTAGTGTCTTCTGACTGGTATATGTGCTTCATTTTGAATATGTCCAATTTATCAGTTTCTTTTCTTTTATGGATTGTACTTTTGCTGTCAAATTTAAAATATCTTTGCCTAACTCAAGGTAGCACAGATTTTTTTCCTATGATTTCTACCATAATTTCTACTTTTGTATTCTACGTTATGTTTATAATCTATTTTGGTTCCATTTTTACGTAATATGAGATGTAGATAAAAGTTAATTTTTTTGCGTAAGATACTCAATTGTTCTAGCACCATTTGTTGAAAGGCTATTGTTTTTCCTCCATGGAATTATCTCTGCATCTTTGTTGAAACGAACACACCACAGATGTGTCGGCCTATCTCTGGGTGTGGATGCAGCTCAGGTGATCTATTTCTACGTCCTTATGGTAACTCCTTACTCTCAGGTCACCACAGCTGCTGCTGTGCAGAAGAGGTAAGGCCACCAGCAGCCCTGGCATTTGCTCCCCTTCCTAGTCTATTCTCCAGCTCTGGGTGGAATTCAGAGCCCAGGCTGCCTCTGGCCCCTTCCACCAACGGGTGGGTTTGCCCCTGTGCAGATAAGCTGAGGACCAACCCCAACACCGGATGGCTGGTGGCCACAGAGATGGACTCAGCACAAAACTGCTTAGCCCTGTGCTGGGTGGAAGCCAACACCTGCAGCTGGAGGCTGGGTTCACTGTGGACTGAGTGAGAGGTGAAGCTGCCTGGGCTTCTGGGTTGGGTGGGGACTTGGAAAACTTTTCTGTCTAGCTAAAGGATTGTAAATGCACCAACCAGTGCTCTGTGTCTAGCTAAAGGTTTGTAAATGTACCAATCAGTGCTCTGTAAAATGGACCAATCAGCTCTCTGTAAAATGAACCAATCAGCTCTCTGTAAAATGGACCAATCAGCAGGATGTGGGTGGGGCCAAATAAGGGAATAAAAGCAGGCCACGCAAGACAGTGTTGGCGTCCCGCTCAGGTTCTCTTTCTCAGTGTGGGAGCTTTGTTCTTTTGCTCTTTGTAATAAATCTTATTGCTGCTCACTCTTTGGGTCCGTGCTGCCTTTATGAACGGTAATACTCACCATGAAAGTCTGTGGCTTCACTCCTGAAGTCAGCAAGACTACAAACCCATCAGAAGGAAGAAACTCTGGGCAGATCTGAACATCTGAAGGAACAAACTCTGGACACACTATCTTTAAGAACTGTAACACTCACCACGCAGGGTCTGTGGCTTCATTCTTGAAGTCAGCGAGACCAAGAACCTGCCAATTCCAGACACACTAGGTTGCTTTAGGCTTTGGAATTAACCCATTTATACTGAAGGCTGCAGAATTTTTTTGTGAAAAGTCAGACCTTGGGAATGGTTTTGAGTGGTAGGATATAAATAATTCCCACAAGCTTAGCATTCCAATAATGGAACACTAGGCGTAAATGGGATAAGGCCATCTTTATTTGATAGTAGGCTTGTTAAAATTTTTCTCGGTTCATAAATTAAGGGTAGAGAGAGCACTCCTTGGTGAATTCCCACTTTTCCTTAGGGATTTTCCTGGGAGAGGGCTGTTTATTAGCTAGCACGGTGGTGAGCAGAGTTAGAGGTTGTCTCTGAAGAAGTTAAACTGGTTGGTATTTCCTCCCGTGTGCAGTTCTTCAGAAGCTTGGTCCTAGGGCTGGGAGGAGACAGGGGGCAGGGAATCAAAGACTTGCGTGGTTACAGGGGAAGAGAAGAGAAAGGCCCTGGCAAGAGAGTGTACATCTAGGGTTGGCTTCCAAAGAACCGGCAAGTGACAACACGGAAAATGTGAAGACAAGCCCAGGGTCGTCTTCCGACTCTCCATGTGTTTGTGATGATCCGGAAGTGACATCTCCCTCTGGCGTTATCTTCCGACTCTCCATGTGTTCCTGAGGATCCAGAAGTGACGTCACCCTCTGCAACTCATCATTCCAACCCAGAGGACCATGAGGGTCCACGGCTAAACAGTTACACGTGTAAAGCACTCAGATTAGTTCCTGGGACAACAAATTACTCTAAAATATATGTGTTGCCCATATAAACTTGTCATACTGTGGGAAATGGGTACTGTGGGTTCTGACTTACAACCTAATTTTAAACCTTCTGCTTTAGAATGTAGAGGAAGTTCATAATAAATTCCTAATCAGTTTATAGTTGAGTCTGCTTTCAGGGAGCCTGTTTTCAATGGAGAGTCTCCCTCTGTTTCTAACCCATGGTGAGTTGAGCTCTCTCTGATTTTACACAGCAAATTGTTTCCTGTGCTGTTCCTCACTTCTTAGAATCCCATCAATAAGAACACAGAGTAACTGCCTATAGAATCAGGTTAATTGGAGACTGGGAAAACTGATAAAAATCAATCAAACATAGAGACATCAAAGAGTTATAAAAGAGGTTATACAGGAAGATTTTCAGTTAGTCTCCACTTCTGAAACGGCTCATTTTTTTAATACCTGAGACTAAACCATATCATGTTTCTATTTTCTTTAAGTTGCTTTTAGAATTAACATACCTTAATTCGTGTCTGGTATGCTTCAGAACTTTGGCTTAAACCATCTTTTTGGACCTTAGGCTCTTTTTCTTGGACTTCCACCGGGACCTGCCCGAAGCCAGTGGACATCGAGCATGAAACGGCTTCCTTTATTTCTCACACTCCAGTTTCCTTCTGTTTGAATTTTTGTCAGTTCATACATTAAGGGTAGAGGAAGCACTCTTCCTCCAAGGGGAGGAGAATTCCCGCTCTCCCTCTGGGTTCTTCCCTGGAGAGGGCCCTTTTCAGCGAGGAGTGGTGATGAGCAGGGATGGAGGTCTCTCAGAGGAGGTTAAATTGGCCCTGTACTTTTTCCTCAGTAATTCCTGAGTTGTACCTCTGCATAAACACACCCAGTCTGACATGGAACGCTGACTCAGCTGGAATCTGATCTCACCTCTCCTCCCTGTGCACTTGCAGGGACGTCAGGCTCTGCGGGCAGCCCTCTGGGCACCAGAGCCTTTCCTGACCCAGGCCCTGGTCACTCTCCCTAGAGGCTTTACTTGGGGGAGCTCCCTACCATTTCCCCAGCTAGGAGGAAGCCAGGCCCCTCTTGGGAGAGGTTGATGATCCAATCCAGGTGATGAGGTCAGTGGAGATGTTCTCTCAAATAATGTATCAGACATAAAGGTCAGGAAGTGTCTACCATTCTGGAACATTGGGAATTGTGATGACAACATGACTGTGTGTACTGGGAGAAGATCTGCTCCGTGGTCTAATGGAATCTATGGTAGACGAAAGTGTCTCATAAAAGGGTTTTTTACTGAATTTGGAAAATTCATGTGTTTAGCCAGATGAATCAGAAAAGATTTTTTTTCCTTTTTTTTAGCCAGAAGCGTCCATATGTTTTCAGATGCACTAGCAAAGCAAAAGCACAGAAACATCAATTTTCTAAAAGGAGGGCAAAACCACATTTTCTTCCTGGAAAAACTCAAGAGTTGAGAAAGGGAAATTGGACGTGTCATTTGGGATTACACTGAGGCAAAGTTGCCATCTGGACAGAAACTAGCACTGGCGAAAGCAACGTTGCCACCCTCACATCTTCCAGAAACAGCTCCTGACAAGGCTCTGACCCTCACTCATGGACGGTTTCTTGATTAGTTGGTGGGTTGTGTATTTATAATGGCACAGGAGAACGCTCAATCAACATGATCTCTCGCGAATAAAGTGAGCATTCCAATAGGTGGTTTAAGCCTCAAGCATTTTTAAAAAGAGCTGGGTGGCTTTGTGCTTTTAGGATATAGCTGAAGGTGGAGAACAAAGAGAGAGCCCATCACTGCAGAACGCAGAGCTCTGGGGGTGAGGATGCTCGGGAGAGAGGCACTGCCTGCTCTTGGTACATTGTGGACAGCACACGTAACACAGGCCAGCCAGGCACTGGAGCAAGGTGATGAGCCTTCTCCTCACTTCACAATCGGAATCCTTCTGAAAAGTCCATTCATAAATGTGTTTCTAGATTTATTCACTCATATGTATTCGGGCCAAATCTTCATGGTGAAATCCTCAGCAATCTGGCAGTTGGTGGAAAATCGGTATTTTTCAAGTCACTTGAATTGTTCAATGGTCACGAGAAACCACAAGTTGCTTATGTTTAGTGAATTATGTTGCATTCAGTTAAGTACCCAATATACGTATAACCAGCAAGTTTTACAAACCTTTGTTACTGAATCAGATCAAGGATGATGATAAGCTCAGTTGGCACCTTTCCCACTGCTAGGGAAAGGACTACGTTTATATGTTAAATATTTGCCAAGTGAAAAGCACATAATCATTCATTTAATCCAGGCAAATTGAACGACTACTATGCGCTGGTTAGAACAGTGGAACCACAATGGCCCTTCTCTCCAGTAGTCACATCTGCTGTTTCTTGAGAATAACCAATATGATTCTTTTACAAGTGTTTTGTAATTAAAACATTTTACACAGGGACTTTAGAAATTCTCATATTGCAGACTTTACTTATTGCGGGTGAAGAAACAGACCCAAAGAGGTGAACTCACTCATAAAAATTTCTGGAAGTTAGTAAAAAATAGTTATTGTTATTATTAGAGTACTTTATTATTGTAACTACAAGATAGTTGTTGAGAATCGAGACAAAGCAAGCTCTGAGACACACACCTCTTATGGATGTAAATTGATACCATTATGTAGCAAAGTTATTTGCATTATCTAACCAAATTAGTTTATTTAACTAAATTGGCATTATTGAAAGCTAGAAATCCCACTCCAAAGTATATAAACTCAACTCACAGCTTTCAACCTTTTTTTAATGATAAAAAGCAGAAAACATTTAATATCATAAGACAAAACACAGTTATATAATATAAAAGATTTGCAAAACATTAATTTTGCTTACTTTGTGCAATGCAATCTGATTTTTATTTTTTTCTTTTTCCTCCCCTCTCCTCTTTTCTCCACTGTCTTCCCTTCCCTTCTCTTCCACTGAATTTTATTTAATTAAGTAATACTTTCACCACCTATTAAATGTATTTAATGATCCACTAATGGATCAAACTCTTAATTTGAAAAATGCTGCCTGAGAAGAATTGTGCTCGTTGAGAGAAACACAAAAATGTGCAAAGCAATGTCAGCAAGAGCAGAAAAGTGGAACTATCACAAATGACATGGTTAAAAGGGGCAGTCATAAAATGGAATGTTAAATATGAAGGAAAGTTAGTGAACTATAGGTGTACTTGTCTCAGATGTTTCTCAAAAACCAAATGAGTAAAAAACAAGTTCCAGAAGAATGTGTATAGTGTATCTATGTTTATTTGTTAGTCAAAAACCAACTGAATAATGAATTACTCAGAAATCATATATATAACAAAGTTATTTAAAAAGAAGGAATGATTTATGCAAACTTTAGAATCACTTTTATCCAGGTGGAGGAGAAAGTGGAGGAAAGATAACGTATTTGGAAAGATGAACAGTGTGAGCCTCATAAGTACCAAAACTACTTCATATCTTGAGCTGTGTGCTGAGTATATGATTTTTAATTTTATTTTACAAACTGCACATTTATATGTTATTTTACATGTGCAATATGGTATTAAGAATAATAGAAATAAGTAATATGTCAGAGAGAGATTCAATATTTTAAGTACAATGATGTTCATAACTATGTTAAATAATAGTTAAAATTGTCAACATATTAAAAGTGCAAGAATAAGGAAGAGTAATCACAGTATTGTATATCCACATATAAAAATTTTACAACTATGTTTTCAATAAAATTATACTTTGCATATACTTTGATATACTTTGCATAAAAAGCATATGCAACTGTATATACAGTGTGATATAATTGTGTGTATATATATTTTGTGTATATATTTATATATATAAAACATTAGGAATCATACCAATGTGATAACATCATGATAATGATTTTGACTTTTTTTCTATAAATTTTTCAAATTCTGTAATGAGAATAAACTACTTTGTAAACTAAACATGGTCAATGAGTCATTTTAAATGAATCAAATTTAAAAGAATAGCCTAGTG